TTCCTTTTATATATAGTCACGAACTATCTAGATAGAATAGTCAGGTATATATCTCTGTCACCACGAGGGCTTTCAGTTGGGCGGTTAGCTGTGATAATTTGTGATAAATGCTGTAATAATAGTATAGGAATACCGTAGAAATGCTAATCTCTATCTGAACATACCATATGCACTAGTGGGGTAATTTGTATAGCAGCGTGACTGTGACTAGGTGAGTGTGACTGTGACTAGGTGGGGGCGACTGTCCTCGGCTCAACAATACTAAATGACCATAATCATCATCACGACCACCATCACGACCACCACCATGATTCTTATCACACTTGATGCATCCTACAACTATCACCAAATGAATTTATTCTAACGCCCCCACCGCTTAATCAAGCTTCTCTAGCCTCACGTAGAAAAGAAAACCTCATTTAAAAAAGTATTTCCTAACTTTTAAAAGCCCATCCTCATAACATATTAATTGATAGAACTACTGATGGATTTAATTCTCGTGATGTTGATGGTTATGTGGCTTCATCGAACTATTTAGTCTTGTACATAAAATATTGTGGTACAATGAGATAATGAATGTACTCACATAAAAAATGCCCAGTTCAGCAAATACGGGGGAAAACAAATACCGCAGTACTAAGGCATTCACCAATACATGCATATAGATGCCGCATTTGCACTAGTCACGGTATTTAACTGGTAGTGAGAACATCCCGCTTTTTGGTACTGTAGTTATCTGGAACCGTTCGTTATGGAAGATATCTTAACTGAGGTACGAATGGTCGATAACTCCCCCAAACAAAATATGTGGCGGGTTGCTATGCACTCCATGGACTCGTAGCAACCGGAACTGTCCTGCGAAGAAACCTCACATCGAGACCTTCGGGATCAGAAGGATAAGTCCATTCTTTTCAAGCACCTAACGGGGACTTAAAGTTACTCAATTGCTCTCCTGGTTGTTGATTTGTTCTGATCTGAAGTGGATTTCGACGTTGTTGTGAGGTGATCGGGGATTTTTGTAACCCTACAATACGTATGCAATAGTGAAACTACTTGGTTCGCTCCTTTCCCTTGTTGCGCCTCTGTATACATCGCGTGATAATGCTCGTCCGCCCCTTCGTCAACAATGCCAAAAACATATATTTTAAAAGGTATAGCGCCGGACAGTCAAAATCAACCCTCATGTTCTTTTCAAGCCAGAAACTAGTCCTAATCGGGTAATAATGATCATCTAATTATCCCAATATGGTAAGAATTATCCAAAATTAATGTGGCCGCCTTGGCATAAAGCTATTAAAGTTATTATTTCACACCTATGTTTTTTTTTCGGGCAGTTTGTACCAAATGTTTGAGAGGTCATAGTGCAGCCAGTTCTTAATTATTTTAAATCCCCTTTTGTGGGGGTGTTTATAACCATGATTAGACCCATTTTACAAAAGAACATTATTTTTGGACAAGTGTTGCGTTGTTGAAAGTCGATGGGGTGAAGGGGAGTCGGTGGTTGCTCTGGCCGGCTGGTTTTGGCTGTCCGACACCGTACAAAGAAAAACCATGAGGCTGGTTGTTAAGCCCTGTAAGGAATGTTGACCACTTGCTGAAAATCGAAGGAATGACATTCGACGATTGAGTTTGGCTGTGAACTCTCTTCCCTATCTTTTTTATATTCCTCTCTGCACATTCTATACTGACGTTGTTGGGCACATTTGCCGTAAAGCGATTTGTCACGTATTAGTCAGTACAGCATGTGGAAATGTGGACAATCCCTTTGTAAAGGTGTCCGCAGCGGAACGACCTAATAACTAGCTCGCTATCTCCCTGTCTATCATTAACACATATATTTTGTTGCTCTCGTTTTGTCTTAATCGAAGTTTTATTCATTCTACGTATTTTCGTCTCGAACCGTCGTTGAGAAGAAAAGAAACAGAGAGTGAACACAACAGCCGGCCAACAACGTCTATGTTCAAGGAATTCGATACCTGTCCCCTCCCGTTGTTTTGTTCTGTCATTTTCCGCCAGCAGCCGACTCCGGAGGACACCGCAATAGTCACAAACATCCTTTTCTGGTTTTCGGATTTTGAGATGCTTAAACTCAGAAGAATTTAGCTAAACCCTCCGGAACTTGAATGTCTCTCTACTAACTTGCGATTGGGGGTTCTCATCATTATATTTCCTGGATAGGCGGTTGTAGGTATAGTTCTTGGACGTAAATCATCGTTCAAGTTGCGAAGCAAAACCACACCAAAAATCGCCAAAACCAGCCATTTTAAGATATAGCTTATACCAATCAGTAAAAGATAACTTGATACTTAGGAGAATCATCTGGCAGTACTAAATTCCAAAAATAATCATTGTAGCATAAATAGTAGAGCATTTTGTTCAGTTATTCTCAGAAAATGTGCCGGGCCTTGGCCAAATCCCAAGATTTGCAAATTCAAAGTCATATAACTTCCCACACACTTGATGAAAAGAATTATAACTCAGAATATATGTTCTTCTAAAGCGTATCTTACTACCCTAGAAGTTCTGTGGTTTTTAGATAACAATTGAAGTTTAGGGAGGTGGCCAACTTTGGTGTGTTTTGGCGCGAAAACGATGATTTACGTCCACGCGCTGTACTATGATGAGAGGGGGTCAGGACGGCTCCAGGGGTTTCCGTATGAGTAACTCTTTCACTAGTCGTAGTGGTGGTCCTGTTTTGGCAGGTAGCGGTGGCTTCCCCCTCCTCCTCCCTCAGATTTTCCTAGGTGACAATATTGTTCTCAACCTCCTTTGCTAGATGCCAGCTATTGACTATTCTCCATAGTTTCCATGAGAACGAAGCTCCACTTTCCGAGACCTTGCCATCTCCTCTATCAACCGGGGCAGCTAATATTTACTCATACCCCAGTATACGAGAAAGAAGTCCCGGTATACTATATCAAGGAATGGTAATCGATAAACTGCTGAATATCGATTTCTCTTCGGAGCCGGAATGCTGATTGATAGCAGCAGTGCTGCTCGTTCCTTTCTATCCCTTTTACTCAACCCTCGACTCCTTTTTACCCAATTATACCATTGACTCGGGTCTTCCTCTTTCTCGAAACAGCCTCGTTGGCAATGACAGCAAGCCGCAAGTTGTTGAACAATCTCAACCACTCTCGAATCCAGTAACTCTTTACCGTACTCGCCATCCTCAAGAATGCTGGGGCTCTCGTTGTTAGAAAGAGACAACGAATACTCAGATTCAGATGAAGAAGAAGAAGAACTCTCGTCTGTATCCATCCTTCCAAAGCAGTTGTTGAACGTAGAGATGGAGAGACATAAATCTCTTTCTCACCACCCAATTGATTCAACCATCAATTTCAAATTTGAAAAATAATTGATTCATTGGGGAATTGAACCCCCTAACCTTTCAGAAAGGTGGAATTATTATTCTTTCAGCAGATATCATTGGATTTATCAACTACACTGTGAAGATGTAATATACGGCCTTCTATCATTACCATCCTGAAGCTAGTAGCTCGGCACCAAGCCTGTCAGAAGTGGCCCCTCAAATAATGTCTCCTCCTTTCGCATTTCATTATATGCACTCCTAAATGTTTGATTCCACGGGAGAACCTACTTGGGAGCATTCTCTTAATTTACATTTGATTATCTCAAAGTCCTTGATTTCAACTAAGTACACTTCATTTCTAGCCTCCTAATGGCTAAGGGGGCCTCTGAAAAATATAATATACACCCTTTAGAATATTTTATATTAGCAGGGGAAACCTTTGGGTAGATTGGTTGTGTGGTGTGTGATTGTTAGGTTTGGCGCCATAAGTCAAGTTTTATTCATATGTACACACATACAGATAGTCTAAGACTGCATGTGATTGCCCATTATTCTACTTTCTCAACACAACCTTTGATTGCGCCGATGAATCACTCCTGCACGGTGGGAATCTCTGGGAACAAAACCGTCTTCACATGTGCGCCGCATTACAATTGCTATTCTGAAAGGTTGCTGACGAGGTACAGGTCATTATGCATCTATTGAGCGGAATAATTGTGTCGTCCGACGATGACCACCTGGTGGTGTATTTAAATCACTAAAGGTCAAGCGCGGTCCAGATTGGAATATAGAGTCCGCACTCCTGCACAAAAGCCTACCACACCATCACGATAAAAAACTATCATCACCCATCACCATCATCATAATCACCACTAGTATCACCGTCAATTAAATCTTAGCCGCTCACTGTATTATTAGATCTGTATAAAATAAGGGTATGTATATAGCACTGAAAAAAATATTTTTCAAAAGTATTCCGCAGATTTTTGTATTAACCCATCGATAAGGGAGATGAATTTATGGACCTATTGATGAATTGGGTTATGGTGTTCAAAATCTTGGTGATGGCTTAATGTGAAGTTGAGATGCTTCAATCGATATCAAATATCGAATGTATGCACAGCTTAAAAAGGTCTAGTCTGGTTTCGTACCCATCCCGCCCAGTATGTATTAACTAGCAGTAGTTTAAGTAAACAATCGGGTAGTTTATTTAAACACCATGGCGTGGTTTAAGTTAAACTACACGTACTGCACCTCTTGTACCATAGGGTGATGCTACAGTCTTCTCTTGTGGTGCACGCGGCGAGGCCAGAATCATGGACTATCACTCACCTGCTGGTTCCAGGCTGATTGAGAGATTATGTAGAGTAATCGTGCCCGGGGTTGCTCAGACATGATGATGGTCGATACCTAGAGGTGAGGTGCGACAACAAAACAGTCTAGGAGCGAGGCTGCGTCTTGTCCTACATCACGGTAACAACAGATGACTTTGGTTCCCTCGACGTTGCCTTTGTCCATCCATCAAATGTATGATATGAGCCCCAAACTTTTCATGGTCTTATCAAATAGTAAATATTGTCTTCATTTTAACTAACAGAACCAGCCTATATATAGACATTATATACAATTTTATTCCTCCAAAACTCCGGCCCAATCTACTCATTTACCTGTCGCCTGAACTCTTGCTTTAACAAGTGAAAGGACGAGGACCAGGAATGGTGTAGCTGGTAACAACTGGCCAGTAGATCTAAAATACCACACTCATTAGCGCCGCTCTGGCTGACTGACACTCGCGAGGAAATAGATCTACTCACGTTGATTGTGATTCCCGGGTCGGAGCCAGCGTAGGCTCCGGGGAACGACACAGTGGCCGGGCTAGCAGAGCCGCCACCAGTAACATTGATCTGCGCACACTCCATGTAGAACTGCGCACCGGGGTACGAGCTAGCGCCGTGGAGGGCGATGAGCTCCGCACGGAGAAGGTAGTTTCCGGATGGGATACACGACGGGATCGGGATATTGACCTTCCCCTTGTTGTTGACAAGACGGGTCACCGCCCAGACACCGGAGGAGTCGAGGCCGTCCTCGTAGATTTTGAACCCTGCGTAAAAGAGTATTAGCATACTTTTCATTCAGAAGGGAAGAGTGAAGGTTACATTTAAGGCCTGTAACGGTAGTGGTGAGCGCAGAGTCAACCTTTGCAAGGTAGACCATGACGGGCCCGAGATGGCCGGCTGAGATCGGGTCATCTGAGTCAGTGGCGTCGGCGCCGGCGAGGGTGTGGTGCCATTCGGTGGTGACCGTTGCACCGGCGGGGACAGTGATGATATCGGTGGGGAGAGGGGTACGGTAAGGGTTGATTCCACCGTTGCAGATAATGTCGTTGGAAGTCACATCACTGATTGGCTTGGAGGGAAGTTAGTACACAGCAAAGAACGAAGATAGGAAAGAGACGTTAACATACCCCGTCGTAAGTGGGGACACGGATTCCGGTGGTGTGGCCAGCTGAAACGCCGTTGACATATAACTCCTGGAAAATGGTATGTGCCGAAGCAGTGCTGGCAAGAGCAGCTGCGAAAAGTGCAATTGAAGTCTTCATGGTTGTAAAAATGGCCCGGCCTCCTACAGGTTGAAATGAATGAGAGAAATGGTTGAAGAATGGGATGAGGTCCAATAATGCGTTTCCTTCGCTCTCTTTATATTGTGTTTTCTCCCTATACTACACCCTGGTAAACTGTCAGTGTTGTCCTCCTCCCCTGCAAGGATCATATATATATTAACTTACTTCTTTAATATAGACGCTCAGATCCTCGTCGCGCGTAGAGCGCACATGGTACGCTGTCACTCATTTCTACATTATTACCGAAGGATCAAAAGAATTGTCAAGGTTTCTCTATATTTCCCCACAGAGAAACGGAGGTGTCGGCAGAAGATGCCATCCATACAGACGCCGTTTCAGTTTCGCCTTGGCCTGCTTGGCTGATGACAGTACCTTAAAGCTTGTTGTGTGGGGTTCGAACGCCATTTCGGTAGCAGCAACCGTCGGTTTCTCGTCCCGGCTTGAGTTCCATTCTGCAGGAACAAGGTGTCGGGAATTGATAAGTGGCAGGGGTGTGTTTTATCCGGCGGCCCTTGGTACCGTACCGGCGCCATGGATGTCTAATCTGTATATAGGAAACAACGGCCAAGGATGCTGATCTCGAGTTGATGAAATAAACGCTCGCGGAGAGAAAAAACCCCCGCGAAGCCCGGTCCTAGACGGCGGAGGTTGGAGATAAAGTTGAGGGTCTGTGCTGGACTGTGAAAAGGGGTTTAAACAGTCGATGATTATCACCTTATTCCTTCAATGATATGATCAGACCATTAATAATTATAAGGATATTTATGGCTAGCTACTATTATGAAGGTTATCTTCTACGTGTGGTTTACTATTTTTCGGACTTTGACGTCGGAATCGGAAGATGCCGAACATACAGAAGCAGTTATAGAGCAATGGAAAATTTATTTCAACCGCAGCCTTTTGGGAGCCAGACAACCACACTGATAATAGGTGTGTGGCTCCGCGTGGAAGCCGGGTCAATATGATCACAAGACAATGCTATATATCCGCCTCAAGAACGCTTTTTTACCCCACGGCCAACCCCGCTCAAGCACTCCTTGATCTCTTAGCCCGACTCTGGATCTCTTAGCTAGATGTGTGGCGCCTGCAAAGGTCAGCCTTCCGTTTCTTGGCCCAGGAGACTGACAGAATTTGCAATGCAAGCCGAGAGATTTATACGAGGATTAGGGGTTTGCGACGTTAATGGTTTTTGCTTGTTTGTTATTTTTATTTTTATTTCCAAATGAATATATGGAAGTAATTGATATCTGCAGAGAACATTGCCTTAGTGACGAACCTTGTTGCACTCCTTTACATCTATTCCTCGACATAACGAACTTTAGAGTGGGATAAAAGACAACAGCCTGCTTACTGATACTATTATAGCGGTTTTTATATCGTAACCCAGCCTGATGTGAATGCTCATCTTCGTGTTACTGACTGGAACTAATAGCTCCCCTGGTAGGCTGAAGTAACAGGCCCAGGTCTGCGTGTCACCAACCAACTACTCTCCCGGGAACCCGGGGCACATATCCTAAGATCTATATCTTCATCCTCAAAGACACAATTACATGTATGCATGCACGTGCGCTCAATGCAGTACTTTCGCGTTTCCATCCACATGTAAAATTACAATTGGGATGACGCGGTCTACTATATAGGCGCTTTAGAAGGCTGCGGAAGCAGGAATATATTAATGATGACATTTTTTCTCCCCCCTCTGCATTTCTGCACAGCTGCAGCTGGACGGCCAGTTGAGCGGGGGAGGAGGAGGATCGAGCTATATAGCTAGTATTGGGTTGCACAGATTGTGGGGAAAGGCGGTGTGTGTGGGAGTTCATCTGGTTTTGTGTTTTTGATTATGTCCTTGAAGTGGGTAAGCGGGGGCGTTTTGTGGCTCCGACCGTTGTTTGTGGTGTTTCTTGGGAGACGGTCCTCATCTGCTTGACTTCAGAACTGATAATTGAGTCGTTTTGTATTTTCGTATTGGCTACGCCTAAGCGGCCATGACCTACGACGGACACGAAAATGTCAAATCGATGGTTCATAGCTAATTATCTGCTTTAGTGTCATAGCGAAACATCTGCGGGAAAAAGGAATTTGAAGTCAGATTAGCGTTGATTCTGGTCAAACTCACTCTGCACCTTCCTATTTGCCTGCACCGGTGAAGGAGAGGCGGCCGCGGGTCTCTATGCTCTGTAGGACAGTAATATGGCAGCACCGGAACCCGTGCTGGCTAGTGTTGTACTCTGACTAAGCAGGTTTAGCGGGGTACGAGTGATGGCTTGTGAATATAATTATGGTGGGGTGGAAAACACGAGGTGGTGGATACATGGATCTATAGACTGGCAACATACAGGAATCTCTTCTGAAAAGTGCCCTCGAGTACGTATGTGCACGTATGTATGTATACCTCAAGTTCAAAAGTTATTGTCCGACACCAAAAACGGCCTTTTGATTTCCACCTTTTGACCATCACACTGCGTTTGAACGTGATATAAAGCTGATATAACGTATGTTGGGATATACAATAGCGGAAATGGGGGTGTCCTTCGTCCTGTAGTACTCTTTTATTATCAATAAGTCTAGTGTTGGTTTAGTAGGAGTTCGGTAGTCTTTGAAATAAAGTTTTATAGTAGTATTTTTAAGAATGCGGCATTAATAGAGAGGTTAATAAATGACGTAATTCACTAATTTGAAATTTTTCTAGGATACGTATTTCTCTAGATAAAATATTCTTCAAACTGCATATTTGCACTTAGATGTCATCCAAAGGCTTCAAAACTAGCAGGTTCTCGATCTAAAATTAAAAACCAGCTATAAAATCAATATTTATAAAGATTTCGATCGCATGCCAGTGTATGGGTACATTTGTGGCCAGGGCCAATTAGTTCATTCAGTCAGGGGATTGTTAGTTGTTCAGCACATGTACATGTGTTAATGTTGATGTTGATAACGTGGCCATCTGTAATAGCTCAGGGCGTGACAGTCACGGCCAGAGTAGGTAGTGACAGCAGATAAGTGTGATGGCCGCTGAAGTCGGGGGCTAGCGAGTTATGGCCACCCGGTGCGGGCATGGAAAAGTTCTTAGCACAGAGTTTATCCAGCATTGATACCGTATTTTTAAAATATTTTATTTTGCGGAACCCTGTAGTAATTTTAAATTGACAAGGTTTCTTGCTCAATGCACATTTTAGAAAATAAATATATCTCAGATGTACCTATTTAACTCTGCATTTTTCTGAGACTGATTATTCTGAACACTGGGGTATTGATACGGAACGAAACGCACCCCTATTTCCGCTATTGTAGATAACTATTCTAGAAGTTCAGATTACACAAAATACTGGTTTTTTTATGAGCTGTGCAGATCTTTCGTTGGGGAATTCCTGCCAGGAACCTAGTCTTAGCAAATCTCATTTCACACCAGCACATACTGACATCAAGGTCTAATTACTTCCGGACTGTTTCTCAAGTATGGGCATGGCTGGGGTTTGTAACTTGAGCTACATGTAGTTGGGAGTATACCTATCTGTTTGTAAATTTGGTGTTATTGCGTGACAACCATATTGGGCGGGGTGTTCTATGCAGACCACAGTTCACGGCATATATGGTCCCCCCCAGCCTTAAAGGTAACATGAGAAAAATGCCAAGTCTCTGATAACTTTTCAACCACGATTGATATTAAAAATCCGTAATGATAGAACTCTTCTTCATCACGGTATCCAGCCTTCTATCATTACGGGTTTTTAATATCAATCGTGGTTGAAAAGTTATCAGAGACTTGGCATTTTTCTCATGTTACTGCGCATGCTGGGGGAACCATATAGGACTATTTGGCTCTTATTAGAGTATATCCCTTTGTTTATATAGACCTCCGATCTTAACTAAAAACTTAATACTCTCGGATCCCCCGCCCCAACACATAAGCCACTAATGCTCTTCTCTCTCTTAACAGCTTTCTTCCTTGCTTTTTTCATCGCCATGGAGCTCACTTCTTGTAGTAAGATCCTGTAAACTCATGGATAAGAGACCTTTGCGAGGAGACACTATTAGTCCACACGCAAGAAACAAGCCGAATCACCCACTGCGCATCGTGCGTCGCGCGTCGCACCGTGTGCCCATCATCGTAGTGTGCGTGCGAGTCCAGTACCAACTCCTACAGTCGTCTCTGGGTCAACGACGAAACCAGTTCGATGGCGAATAGGCCAATCGAAGCCAATAAAGCGCCCCGACCCCTTTGCTTTGACTGCCTATCAGCCCAAAAAGTAGCCACTCGTCATCGAGCCGGGTTCGTCGTTGACCCAGAAACGACTGTACCATCCTTTAACCGTTGCGCGTCGTACCTGTAGTAGATACCGTGGATATGGTTATGTTGATGTTATCTGTGAGAATACCGAGTGGGGATTCTTGTTCCTACGCAGATATTGCTGGAACAGGGTTCCGGGCATGAAAGATGACACATCTGTCTCTTTCCATAACTGTATTTCCTTTCATTATGCAAGATATTTTCTTTTATGCAAGATATTTCCTTTCATTATGCAAGTTATTTTCTTATATTCTTTTATCTTTTCATTTTTCCTTGTGTTTTTGGGAATGGCTTCTCTTGTTTAATTTTCTAGACTATTCTCTAGTAGCATGATAATAATGTTTTTACGGCTATAAATAGACGGCCAAAGTAGAAAATAATAAATCATCCATCACAAAATCAATAAAGTCGTTGAGACACTTCCTTCCTTCCTGCTACCAAAACAGATATTAGCCCCCTCCTCTTTCCAGCGTCCCCATCTCCTCCCTTGTGGTGTCGAAACGCGGTTCCCCACTTGGCGTGATGGTTGAGTATTCTGTACTGCCGAAGGAGTGAAGGTCGGTCATGTATCAGATGGGTCGCCGTGGAGATTTCATCGGGATAGAGTAGGTGCTGAGCACTGTCAGCTGTCGTCGCGTGAAGTGAGCATCTCGGGTTTCGACTCGCGGTGATAGCTAGCTTTAGCTGCATCACGTGCCCCCGCTTCCGCGCATTGGCCAGCATGCGGCCAGATCGCAGAACATGGGCTTGAGCCTCATCCGCGCGCCAGCTAGCCCGCTGTCACGTTTAATTAGTCTCGCGTTAGTGCGGACTAGAGTAGTTCCCAACGTCAATCTCCAAAACGAGCACTACTCGATACCGTTATCGTTGATATTACCCGTCGGCTCGGGCTGTTCTTTGTCTCCAACCGTTGGAGATTTTTCGGGTCGGGCTCATGAGCTGCTAGATATAGGTGGGTTGAGGGCCGGTGGAGTGCGCTAGATTCGTATCATATCATCGCTAAAGCATCAGTCTTGGGCGGGTTGTGGGGTTGTGGGGTAAGAAGGGCCTCGACTTAATACCACGATTCGTAGCTACAAAAGTTGATAGCTGATAGTAGGTATCTAGATCCCATAACCTGCCGCTGCAGTATTCGTTCGGAGTGCCAACAACCTAAGCACCGGACCTACATGTAGTTACTACCTCGAGGACTACTACAGTTCTTCGTATCTGGCAAACGCCCTACTGGCACCCAGGAGCGTTTCCACCTATCATAACATCGAAGCTTCTATATGGCAGGATGAGCGCTGGAATGGATGGTAAAGATCTCTTTCCTGCCAGACACTACCGGACTGAGAAGAAAGCTAAAACAGGGCTACGAGAACAAGGGCCAACAGGTTGAGCCTCTTCCGAAATTTTACCCACGACCACAGACCAGCTCGAGTACTTGGATGTCCTTAGTAGGGGATAGCAGCGCAGTAAGTACTTTACAGTGGCACAGTCTAATCCGATTCTGGGTTTTGAGACGCGCTCAATTACTTGTTTTGATCTATACCAATATTTTTCTCTCCTAATTTTGGATACTTTCCGGGATTAATTAACTACACTAATTTAATGTTTCTACCGCAGTTGCCCCACCGTGCAGATAACCCGCACCACTGAAACCGGGATGCCGTCTTTCTCCTTCTCCGTCATGCAGGACTTTTCTTAGCCTCGTGTGCTGCCGATTACGCTGGGGGTATTTCAATACTGTGATTTATGGCGGCCGCCCCTACCAAACCTATACGCGTCGTGGTCCGGTCCTTTGGGGTGGGGGTTAGAAATCGAGGCTCGACGCTCTCTATAGAGTCCATTCACCAACCGTCAACCTTAAAGGCGGCCTTAACTAACGTTTTAACTCTCGGACGATAAAAAGAGCGGTTCTCGGAAGTCCTAGAAAGCACATCTGTCTATATATATTTACACAAGCAGTTAGCAATCCATCAAACACGCGCGGGGTTATCCTTTGCAGACGAGGAACGAACCAGTCTACGAACCCAACTACAAGCATAGCGCCGGCCACTATTCTTCCCGACCTCAATTCGCGGAACCCTATGGCGAAATCTAGGTAGGGTCTGAAGAAAGCAGTTGTCGTAGTAATCGGGCGTCACGTTCGCCGAGAGTCATTCGCGGCGCCCTAGAACTTTCTTCGGGGACTGGTGGTTTGCCTAGATCGTATATAGCTTAATAGTTAATGGAATACGAACTGTGGTGCGATGTTGATCATTCAGAACGCGTATCAGTACTCTACAGTTGCCCTCCGATATAACGAATACCACTATACCGAATATTCGCTGTACCGAACCACTTGGGCTAGCTTCTTTTTTGTTTCAGCAAAGAATTTAGTCTGCTATACCGAATAATACCGAATAATCTGCTGTACCGAACAAAAAATGGCTCAATATGCACGTTCGTTATAGCGGAGGGCGACTGTACAGCTTATCCTCAAAAGAACCAGAAAATGCAAGTAACGGAAACAGGGATTATTTGTATGAGAGAACGACGCTACTCCATACAAATTATCCTTGCCCTGAGCAACTGCATTTTCTGGTTCTTACGCTGGTAAGCGTGTACATAGCCTTGGATGCAGATGCAGATGTGGCCGACTTGACTCATGAGTGGGGTGCATACATCCTGCCCTGTTGAAGCACAGGGGATGGGGGGGGGTCCATCGGCAGGGAGAGCGCAGTAGAGTAATAAGATATCGTGCCGATAACGAGACGAGAGGAGGAAATAAAGTGCCCCTCACAAGAGCCTCACGCCAAGACTCCCTTGTTGGTTTGAGGCATGCGCCAAGACCTTGCTTGTTGGTAAATAAACCCCACGTGACACAAATCCCGAGTGATCAATGATGACAGGGTGATAGCTTGTGACGCAGATAGCTCTAGAAACCGCGATAACGGCGCTGCGATACGTGTCGGTGCTCCCTCATTAACGAGGACTTGTAAATTGTTGAAATCTTCTTTAAAGAAAAGCGGGGTAATAAACTCATACTCACTTTCAACCCCCGGCTCCTCGCTTAGGCACCGTTTTTTCCTAAATCAAAGTAATCATTTCGTCACGTCTTGACTCATTCATGCACGCGTAAAATCATCACGACCGATCAAATGGGGGGTATTGAAACAGGAATCTGCTCAATTCTCCGGCCATCTAGAGCACATGTATGTATGTAGCAAGCCGGTTTGCTGTTCGCTGCGCTGTATTTATAATCCGGTGCCGATCCTCCCCAGAGTAGCAGGCGCGGCGGACACGGGTCTACAGCTTGCCGAAGCTCGCAACGACGCGTTTTATGTCACTTGTGTCTCCGCAGGGGTGCAGCAGGGAGCTGGCTGTTATTTAAAGAGCTTGATAAGATACGGTTTTACCCCTCAGCTCAATTTCCCCCTCTGTCACATTACAGACGTATCCAACGGCTTAGAAACACTCAATCCAATCACGATAATAACTGTCAAAGCAATGTCGTTTCCGAAGAACGCTACACTCTCCCCGGTGCCCTTCAAGATTGCCGTGCCCCAGAAGGAGATCGATGACTTCAAGACGCTCCTGCAATTGAGCCAGCTTCCGCCGCCGATATGGGAGGGCACCCAGCCGCAATTCGGCGTACAGTCCAAATGGATGAGCGAGACGAAGGAGTACTGGGAGACCAAGTTTGACTGGTAAGTACCATGCCATTTCACCCACAAATCCTCATTCCGACTTCCGAGATCTAACACATGCTGCATCCAGGCGTTCTCACGAAGCCGAGATCAACAAGTACCCGCAGTACACCGTCCCGATAACTTCTTCGCTCGGAGCCACCCTAGACATCCACTTCATAGCACACCTCTCCTCTGATCCTGATGCAGTGACATTGCTGCTGCTGCACGGATGGCCGGGCTCGTTCATCGAGTTCCTCGACCTCATTACTACCCTCTCGGCGTCTACAACCCCGGCGTTCAACATCATTGTGCCCAGTCTTCCCGGATACGCGTTCTCGTCGGGGCCACCGTTGGACAGGGATTTCGACCTCGCGGAGGTGGGCGAGATGTTGAACTCGCTCATGGTGGGGCTGGGATTTGGTAAGGAGAGTGGTGGGTATATAGCACAGGGTGGCGATATCGGTAGCTTTCTGTCGAGGCTGCTGCAGGAGCGTTATGAGGACTGCAAAGGTTTGTTTTTGTTCATGACCCGGAGAGAAGAAAGCCAGTGCTGACGAATTCTGTGTTTTGATTCTAGCAATTCATCGTAATTCCCCATCTCTCGCTGTATGTATGTATGTATGTATGTTGTGTAGCTCACGGGTATAGTCAATGCGTTATTCCCCACCGACACATACCCCACCGAAAACCTCACCCCCAGCGACCTCAGAGGCCTCGAGCGCGCTAAGGCCTTCCGCACAACCGGTGGGGCATATGGCCTTACACATGCCACACGTCCCAGCACGATTGGCCACGTTCTCTCCAGCACTCCTCTTGCACTACTTGCATGGGTGGGCGAGAAACTGCTGGAGTGGACCGATGAGGACCCCAGCGTCGAAGCCGTGCTGAGATTGGTGACGTTGTGGTGGTTTACGAAGACAGCGCCTAGAGCGATTTATCCATACCGCCAGGTAGCTTCCCCCCCCCCTTCCCTCTTTCCACCTAGCCTTTCCTGCTGGGGGTTGCGTTTCGTGGTCCGATGTTGACATTGCGGGTGGTGTGATAGATCTTTAGGAGGCCTGACTCGGCGAAAACGGTGTGGAAGAAGCCGGTGGGCTATTCGCTATTCCCGGAGGACATTATCCCGACGGGGAAGATCTGGGCCGAGTTTGAGACGGAGGGGAAGATGGTGTGGTTCAAGGAGCACGAGACGGTATGTTGCTTTTTTGTCTAGTTGTTTGTTTCCATGAAGTTGTGGGCTCGTCTATTCTACGGGGGTGCGGGAGACTAATTGGAGGCATTTAGGGCGGGCATTTCGCGGCGATGGAGAAGCCAAAGGCGTTGGCGGAGGATCTAGTGCAGTTTGTTTTGTTTTTGAAGGGGCTAGAGAAGTAGGGTAGGTATGTGTAGTGGCTATAGCTAGAGATGTCAGTCAGGTATGGGATGGTGGTGCAGGTACGGATTGTAAGACCTGTTTACGTAAAGAATCCTATACATACCTGGTATTCCTAGGCGCTAGCTTTGGCCAATATATAGCTCGGTGTTTATCCAATCTTCATGCAGTGGTTCGTGCGTTCCTACTCTGATGTCAATGTATCACTCAATACAGGACATACCGCTCCGTACACCGCCAAACTCGAAGAATTGGCTACATATATATCTCCGTCTAGGGATTATCTCTCGAGTGATCGGTTGCAAATGGTGTCGATCTACATTAGAGGTTTTCCATGGAAGTAATCCTGAGGTCACGAGAGTTAGACAGTTTATTGGGTTTGGCGGTAGTTGTATTGAGACTTGACGTCAATTGGAACAGAATCGATGATTGAATTAATCCTTCAATGCTATAAGTTGTGGCAGTTTTAGCTATCTTCAGCGCGAAGTGGTTGTGGTGAAGGGTAGGCCACCATATAAACATGGAGGACCAAGAGAAGACTTTCCCAGTGATCAATATTACGGGTGGGCCACACTGCGCACTGAATCACGAACCCTTTTGCCGAGTGGCTATATCTAACCGTAAGTAGAAATAGGTACATCTGCGCATGCGGGGCTACTATGCCAAGGCTGGAGATAATCTGAACCCTTGTTCAGGATTTGGCGAATTATATGAAGTTGCTTCATGCGCACATTACGATTCCGATCGCCACCAGAGACCATTTATGGAAAGGTGCTTGCGGCCGCGGTGTACCTTGTTGACGGCCATCTGAGGTTTGTCCCAATTGGTGGAGTTTCGGGTCTTCAAATCGATGGTTTCTTTGCTGAAACTCTCTATTGGCTTGAATAGCGCCGCATGGATTGAATAAACGACCACGCAACCTGTTCTGACTAGGTAGTACTTTTCAGCTATTAAGCCGTATATTTCCTCCACATTGTTCTCACTCATCAAACACCTAAATAGTACGGCAGTCGATCCAGAATTCGGTCTGATTATCTTCTCCAAATGATACATTGGGACTATATACTTCTTCTCACTGGCAGTTGCCAGTTGCTCTTCGCAAGCGATCCACAACCTCGATTTTCCGGGGTTTTGCTGGTAATTACAGCTGCTCTGGGCGTTAGTCTATGCGAGCACGATGCTCCATGGGCTTTACCAGGAGCATAGTACGCTGGCTCTATTATTTATGCTACGCTGAATTTGATAGTTTTTGCTCTTTCGCCCGCACAGCTCCTGCTGTTATTTGTTCTGAAAAACGGGCCGAAACCCAAAGCTGGAATCGTAGTTCTCCATCCGGATCCTAGGGCCAAGAACAACACAGAAACGATCCATGTGGAGTGAGTTACTCCGCGTCTCGAATTATGGCATAAGACTGATAAATGGTAGTATCGTGGCTGTTCATGGACTAGGATCGAATCCGGATTGGGCTTGGACCCATGATTCCGGAGTCATGTGGTTGAGAGACCTGCTGCCAAACAGCCTCCCCAATGCCCGCATTATGGCGTTCAATCACAATTCAAAATGGGATCGAGATTCATCTGTCAAGTCAATAGAGCATTGTGGGAAGGAGCTACTTGACAATTTGAATCTCGTACGCAAGGTATGCCCACCTGTACTAGAACACCTATCCCATTGTGTATAAGTACCGCCCCTTCCCCGAGCACTTGGTGAATTATCCAGAGCCTAATATAAATCCAATCCTATACTTGGCATACCTATATTATATATAGAAAAGATGTTTCTGGAGCTCAAGAATCATTTCCTACGATTCATTGTGTTCTTCATTGAAGGTGCTTACTAAGGTGTGTAATCATAAGGGGTTTGAAGATCGACCAATTATCTTTATTGGGCATAGCTTTGGGGGGATAATTATCAAAAAGGTACACCCACACTCACAATATTCCTGGTGTGGAGAACTTTTGAACCCGCTTTAGGCGTTGGTAATTGCCGGCAGGAAGCATATAAAAGATCGCCGATATAAAAGTTTCGAAAATGTCATTTGTGGCATTATATTCCTGGGTGTCCCCCACGATGGATCGCGACTAACAACCATGGGAAAATTATTATCTCATGGAACATATTGGCTTGGATCGAGTACTGAGATTCTTGAATCTCTTAAACCTGGAGCAAAAGAGCTGAGAGAACTTAATAATAGTTTTCTCGAGGGATACCGGCATGAGAATAAGATAGTAAGCTTTTGGGAGACGAAAATGACGAAAATATGGAATATACCGTTACTACAGGTAAGCAGATCACAGCCAAAACCACTTCACGATCTAACCGTATTCTTATCGTTAAGGCCGTAGATGAGGGTTCCGCCACCATACCGGGCGAAACAGGAATTCCTCTTGACGTCGATCATGTCGGCATGAACAAGTTTGAGTCTGAGCAGGATAATGACTATAAGTTGGTGAAGGTAGAGCTTGACAGAATGGTCGAGCGTGTTTTAGAAGGTTTTTAACAAGATCCCATGAATTTCAACCAGACATTTGGAAGCTATCAATGAGGAAAAAGTTGAACTGCGCTTGAAGGGTTACCCTAGTTGATAAAGCCTGGGTCAGCTCTTCATCCGAAATGCACTGTTTTCCGCAGCCCAGCTTCAAAAATTCTGATCTTGATAGTTCGGAGACCTAAAAATAACTTTTTCGTGACTGTAGAAGTAAAAAAGACCGAAGAGGAAGAGATATTATCTAAAGTACTCGACGACGAAATGAAAGGTAGTTTCCAATGATATAAGCTTGGCACTTGTAAGGAATCTCTAACTAAGTCCTCCCTACATAACAGGGTGCCTTCAAACCTTAAGCTTTGAAAAGATGGAGAGTCGTCAAGGGGATGTTGATGAGGCGGAGGCTTCCACTTTTGAATGGATCTGGGAAGACAAAACGTTCCTTGGGTGGGATGCAGAGAGTTCTGGGGTATTCTGGGTACTCGGTAAACCCGGAAGTGGCAAATCGACCTTCATCAAGTATGTCCTCGATGGGTTCATCCAATACAAAGGTAATAAATCCACTCCCAAGCCAACGATCGCCAGTTTCGTCTTCCACAATCGAGGAGGAATTCTCGAAAAATCCTCGCGAGGGTTTCTTCAAACCATTATCCACCAAATACTCTTTGAAACCCCCACACTGTTCAGACATTCTTCCCGAGTACAAAAAGCTTAAGGAAAGAGTTATTGGTGGTGAAAAGATACAATGGCAACTGTCTTCAATGTCCAAGATATTAAGATCTTTGTTACCGATCCCTCCGCTACGGCCATTTACATATTTATCGATGGATGAGTGTGAAGAAGAGTCGAAGCGACCTATGACAATACATTTGATGGAACTTGCAAGGGCCTGTACAGGTGGAAGATTGAAGCTGTTCGTCACGAGCCGTCCAGAACCCTGGCTAATAAGCATAAATAAAGCTGCGGGGGAAACCATTCGATCAATCACCCTCCAAGACTTTAACCATAATGACTTGAGATCTTATATCAACACTCGAGTGAGGTTTCTTCAAACATCACACCAGGAGTACTTGAAAGGAAAGCTTATCAGTCGCTCAGATGGTGTATTTCTCTGGGCTAAGCTGGTCATTGATATGCTGGAGAAAATAGTCTTTGGAGCCTCTCTTTCCGAACTTCAAGAGAAACTAGACTCTGTTCCTGATGAGCTCACAGAACTCTATAACGAAAAGATGAAAGGGCTATCGGACAATGAACGCACGGAGGCAGTAGAGGTGTTTCGTTGGGTTATTCTGGCAAAGCGACCGTTGTCATGTGATGATTTGCGATATGCGCTTGCAATCAGCATACATAAGGTTTCTTCAATTAAAAATCTCGAGAGTTCTGACAAGGTACAAGGGCTTTCGGATACAGAGGACCGAATACGGAAATATTCTGGAGGACTATTGGAAGTACGCTCAGGAACTGTTCAAGTCATTCATCAGTCTGTGAAAGATTTTTTTCTGAGCACGGATCATCCACTCCGCATTGGAGGGTCCATCAGTCAAACACGTTTGGCCGTGACTTGCGTATCCTTTCTGTCATTTACCGATATTGAGTATCCTCTTGAGAGGCGGTTGTCCCCTTATGCTCGCGCTTGGATAGGTCACAGTACACCTCTTTTCAACTACTCAAGAGACTTCTGGGTAACCCACTCAAAAGCTGGTGATTTACGGGATAGCTGCTACGTCAACGCTATGCGGGGTTTTCTCTGGAGCCCTATATTAGAGAGGTTGATCGACTTTTATGACCCGGGGCGCTGGTCGGAATTTAAAAACTCTATAAAGCCTCAGGTTTATATTGTTTACTATAAAAACCTCTTTCAGCTCGCTAGAGATACGACCCCAAATAACGTTTTCAAGGATATCCCAAATCTCTCTGAGAACTGTCTCCTCGCCGCAATACTTTTCGAATATGAGGACGAGGTCAGACTTTGTATAGAAAGCGGAGCCGATCTCAACGCTCAGCTAGATAGGAAGTATGGCAATGCCTTACAAGCCGCCGCAACGCGCAATGGTAACCTGAATATTGTGAAGTTCCTGATCGATAGTGGAGCCGATGTCAATGCCCAAGGTGGCGAGTATGGTAATTCCTTACAAGCCGCAGCGGTCTATGGTACACTGGGGCTTGTGAAGTTCCTAATCGAGAATGGAGCCGATGTCAATGCCCAAGGTGGCTGCCATGAGAGTGCCTTACAAACCACAATCAACGAGTCTAAACAGGATATAGAGTCTCTCCTACGCAACAACGGAGCAAAACTCCCTAGCCAGATCATGGAGATTGAGGAGGACTCTATTGACAATGTGGTTGACCTAACCACATCCCCACACGCAATTATACCCGTCGGCAATGACGAGAATTAAAACGATAATAGCCAGTTCCTCGGTTCTTAGGATTCCCCCGAACAGATTTCCGAGAAGACCCCCCCCCCCCCTCTTTCCCTAAAAACGACATTCTTTATGTCTTTTTACATGATTTCTTTCAGGCTTCTGCGAGCCTTTGTTTTCTTGCGTGTTACACTTTGGTTTGGGGGTGAATTCTTTTCATTGGTCATTTTTGGAGATGAACAGGGAGTATTTCTTTGGATATATATCAGTGCAGTCAGTCGATATGCGAATGGTTTATTTTCCATTCTCTCTTTCTCTTTCCTTCTTTATTTCCATTGCACTCTCTTTCTTCCTTTTGTCTATCTCATTTCCATTTCCGTTTTCAATCAGATCATGCAAAGCAGACGTCGCAGGGTTTTCTTCTTTTAATCTCTCATGTCTTATCTTCTAATGTTCGTTTCGGTTTCCTCACTTTATATAAGGCCGCTCATTCCCAATATATTCAGATATATCTCTTTCCACGCGCCGGAAAAGATAGGGGGCAGTACAGTGACGCGCTCCCTCCACTTCAATACCTCGTCCTGATATTTTCCGAGGAGCTCTTGATTGCATGATAACAACCAATCCCCGGGGCTCCGACTGCCGGGCAGAGATGCATACCGCGATCAGAGCCCTCGGGAACGATATCCTTCAGAATCGATCTTTATCACATAAAAGCGCGGAAATTTAGTATGTACGCGCAGGAAAATAGGGTTATCGTTGCTATTATCAGCAGTGTCAATGATCGGGTAATTATTGCCAAGACCGAGTGATGATATGTGAACCCCATTCCAAGGTGGGGGTAGATGTGCTTGCAGGACTGGTGTGCGGTGAAGTAGTAGATGGTCGGCTAGAGATAGTTTGATTGCGGAATGCATCGAGCTCCTGCTAGCGGGTGTGCGTGTGCATGGTGAAGGTACACCGATACCCTAGATCTGATATGTGCGAGTGTAGGCTCTTAGACTCGCCCTGTCGCACCCCGCGGTCCTCTGTCGGTCGGTCGCGGATTATGCATGTGCAGCTGTATGCACCCGGCGGTCTTCAGCCACCGGGACGTTGAAGTAGATTACCTATATATTTTCCTCCCGTCTGCCTGCCGGCGCACAACGAACGATATGCTTCCCCCGGGACCCACCGGGCGCCCTGCACATGTGTACAGCAATTAAGCGGACTCTATAGATCTAGTCCAGCAGGCAGACAGATGAAAGAGAGTGTCCTTGTCCGGCTGTAGATAACTGAGCCGATGTTCCGGAGTCTAGGCGGTTTGCTTGCGTTGAGAGATTCTGTGAAGCCGCGGCCGGTGCTGCGAAGAAGGCTTCGTTTACCTGACTGGAGGGTTGTTACCCGGACTATTACCTCCAATCCGGTTGGAGAACGGTCGGTAGTTGGATTGCATGTATTCGCTCAGCATGGACGGGTGCCGGAAGCTAGAAGCAAAGAGTACGGTTGTGCTGCTGTCTCTGTTCGTCTGCCGTAGCTCCTACCCGGTGAGTAAGTATTTGTGGAAGGGGTTTTCGTGAGCTGGTCTGCTGCCCTGGACATGTGGACAGTTGCGCGAAGGCTAAATCGTGCTAGATTGGCCTGCGGGGCGCGGCGCGGGGTCGAGACTGTTGTTCCTGGTGTTTTCTTCTGTGGAGAGTGTTGTTGGTTGAGGATATGTGTGCGAGGCCTTTTGCCATGCTCTGGCTTTACCGAGAGCATGTGCCGGCCTGTGTGTACGCGTGTTGTTTGTATTCTTGACCTTGCTGTGTTAGTTGTAATGTATTGGCGCGTTCTTATCCACTACTGCAGAGCCTCTCACCCCCCCAGATGAATTAAACAAAAAAAAAATCTCACCCCCCAGCACCCCATAGCGGAGCAACCAAAATACCGAGTGATGGTCTATGAAGAAGATCCCGAGTGACGCCACATGACCCACGCTGAATGGGGTGATGTTAGCTTCCGCTGGACATCGCCCATAAAACAAAACATCAAGGTGCATGCTACGTGATGCAGTCCCCTTCCACACACACACTTGTCTGTATCCACTTTCTGTCATATGCTTGCGTCGCATGAGATCGAATACACCTCCCGGCTCAATGGGCGATCGGAAGTGTAGATTTCAACGGCAAACGGTGATTTGTGCTTGCTTCAAAAGTTTATTTCGCAGACTCGCGATGATCGATTTGTAAAGAGTCTGCCCTGTTCTCGTGGGTGGAAGACGCGTGGCTGTAATAAAGCTCAGGGCTGCTAGCTATAGTGGTGTGTGAGTCAGTGGTATTATTCGTCCTGTGGTAGCTATGCTTTCGTTAGCTCTGTCCTTATGGATTCAAACTACGCTAGAGCAGAGGTAATAGGGCTATTTATCGGGATATGCGAATACCAAATTGAAAACTTGGCGCAGGGGAAAATAAAAAAAAAAAAAAAAAAAGAATAAATGGCGTGATCTCAAGTCAGTTGAACAAAAACCAGTCCTAGACACGCACACACCAAGCCCATCTGTTAGTAATTGCTCTGCTTTGCAACAAATAAAAGTTACTACGTACTTGATGTCTTAGATCTAGCGCGTGTGATAGGTCCCGCATGCTTGGGCGCGAGAATTTGCTTTCCTCCAGCGAACATCGTTTCAGAAAAGAGTTTGCGATTATAATATCTTTATGTCGTGATTCTGTTTGGTGATAGACCCATATAGCAAATGAATTTCATCTCTTCGTCGCTTTCCATATATGAACGCCACAGACACTTGTAGCCCCCCGCCCAAACAGTATTTAAACCTCAAATATTGTATATGTCGCCCGTTTCCGGGCCGACCACACTTTATCGATCTCTTACCGTAAGTGAATCTCTTTGCCTGAAATAGGCATGTGAATGGAATAAATTCTGAATCGATGGATAGCCTTGAGGACCATAATCAGTCAGAGTCGCGGATATCTAACCACATCTCGGCCTTAGATCAGCAGTGTGAGTGATCGAGCGCAAGTGGGGTCGCACAACAATCATAACTTCCGTCCGATGACCTGACCAAACGTTGCACAAGTGGAGCACAGGGTCGTAATCTAAGTTTGCGGGTGCTCGGCCATGCCCTAAACAGAAAAGGATTGAGATCGTCAGGCGATTGTTAACATCTTTGTGCAGTGGCGAGCATGTGAGTTGGATCAGGTTTTTAATATGTGCGCCGCGTTGGGGATGCTTCCGTAATATATATTTTTGTGCATGCAGGCTTAAGATCTGGGACTTGAGCACCCGCCACGTGCGATGTGGTACACGCTCTGTAGAGAAGCTTTCTTGGTACCTCGCACGGATCGGTCCGTTGAAGACTTCTGTGGATTCGGCTGCACATAGTCCACCTAGGGAAACTATGGATTTCCAAAAATGTGTATAATCATTAGAAAGAAAATTGACCTGTAAGGTAACGCTGCCATTGCCATTGAAGCCACACACTAAACTCACCTCGTGAAAGCTCTCAGACAGTTGAACATCCAGGAAAAATTGATATCAAAGGGAATGGTGTATATCGTTCATTATCTTTGGAATCTCTTTGCCCACCGTCCGTTTTCCACTTATCAAAACTAATGTTGTAGATAGTTGGGAGTTAAAACTGGGGTCCGCGTGTCTCCGAGTTTGTTCGGGGAGGTGTTTTAATGTGCAGCGGTACTGTACATGTAGCTGTAACGTCCGTTTTGTTCCTTCACAAAGTGGTACATGTAATGAATGTGGACAGATTTGATCTGATTTGTGCTGGAATACCTCTAATTCTGGAGGTTTCGATTAGATCCCTAAGGACTGCCCCTAGATGTTTGCTTTGCTCCGTCCGTTCCGGGAGGCAGTCTGTTCCTTGATTGGTAGGTCTGTGATATAGGCATTGACGGACTGAGTATCATAATGTTGTCGTTTTGGAACTGAGGAAGCTAATAATCTGTGGTTTAATTCTAACCCTGTTGCTTAACGACAGGTTATGTGTCCCTCCGAGATTAGTAAGAGGGCTATAACTACACGTAACACCTTTCTGTGTGCCTCCAAAATTGTAGCCTTATTTGCCAAAGCCACTATATATGGCCCCAAATTTTCAACTGTTTCTATACCCAGCGAATCGGAAAATGTGAATATAGTGTTTTAAAAGTCTGGAAACTTTCAAGAGGATTTCTCCTCTCATGAGGAGATTGGTTGAATATTATTACTAGCTGACGGCTCCACCGGGTGCCGATCACCATGCCTAGCCCAATCGCCTGGGAATACCATATACATAATGACTGCTCTGCCTTCAAATCATTTTTAGAGTTATTAGGATACTATTTTTTTTTCGAACTGACTTTTACCGTAGAGCCAAGTGCTTGGGAAATAGGGAAAAACAGATGCTTATAATGTCACGAGTCGATAAATCCAGTCTCCGAGTGACGAAATTAAGTTCAAATTCTTTAGTTTTGTCAGGATTTAGGACTCATCTTCTCAAAGTCAGTTATCACTGCATGATATTTCCGCATCAACTAGAGTATAGCAAAACAGGCTCATGGGGGAGGGGTGGCACCGTCACTGCTTCTACTATATTAATGCAGCTTGCTATTACCTTTACTCGATCTTGCACACCGCGAGATCGATAGATCCTAGACTTCAGATCGTACGTATACAAGACATCTCGTATTTGACCTATTTTATAGGTAAGTGAATACAAGACTCCCATATCGCAAAGACTGGACTTATTGTCTTATCTTTTTGACTTTGTATGACATATATATAACTTCGACTAAGCCATATAACCTGTATAGAGTGATACATCTACCCCCCAGCGCAAATATAACCTGAAGGCCAATTACTAATTTTTGGCATACGTGAGTTTTCATTCTTTCGTGATTTTAACGATCTGAGACTAACCTATTATATTTTCAGGGACCAAACTTCCGCAATAATGATTTCAGTTGATTTCTCTCTCGCCGTTGCCTCATCGATCTTCTTCGCCTTATGTTTTGCCGCGCCATTGCAAGATATCGGCATCGATATCAGTTACGAGAAGGACCCACCAG